CTCCAGAACAGTCTGAAGACCAGCAGATAGACATTCCTATGACAGTAGAGATTGCTTGAGTTTCTTCACACAGTAAAGGGAAACAAATCAAGTACTGAATTTTCTTCATCTCTACGTCTTTAGGTATCTTTACGCCTAACAAAGTGGGGGGGGAGTTCCATTAAAAGATCTGAGGACATAAAATTCTAGACCTCATCACTATAGTGTCTAAGTCAACTTCATGTTCTAGCAGACATAAAGAGACTCAGAGCTTAATATATTAAAATTCATTAACTCAAATAAGAGTACAGCATGAAATAAAATAGAAAAAAATACCTAAGTAACATCTGAAACATTTTTCTCTCATTACCAAAGAACTACAGCTTAAAGGTACAGCAATAATGTGACTAGCCTAGTTAAATTTCCAAAGCAGATGAACAATTACAGTAAGACTTTTTAACCTCCCAACTAACAAAAAAGCATTAGAAAGCAGGAAAAGAATTCGTGCTCACAAAATGTTTAGAATAAAAAAAGGAACAGTTACTTTCGTATGGCACGAAATACAAATCACAGTTTTTGCCTGGATTTTCAGTAGCAACAGTGACTTTGAACATAAACAAAGACAAGATAGCAAAGTAGAACAAATGCATACAAGTAAAAATTATCAAAACAAAACTAAAAAAATTAGCACAATGGCTTTCATCTTAATACAGAAACAGTTTCACCAAATCACATATTTAATCAGATTCTGTTGTTATAATCTAGGTGTGAAACAGGTGGGGATGAGAGAAACTATGACAAGATACCACCAGGTGTACAATGAAGGTTCACACTCACAGTGAATGTTACATAAATACATGATAAGTATTAATGTCAAAGTAAGCTTGCATTACTGTGTGCAGTTCTAGTGATTTAATACCAATGAGTCCAAAGAATAGACCAAGAGGAAAAACAGTGATATGGTGAGAGCTTCATGGTGTGGTGAGAGCTTAGAAGTTACAGATAGGGAAGAGAACTATTTAAACTTAAGGACTGCCTAACCAGTCAGTCTAGGAATGTGCTTGGAGGTTGTCTTTGTTTTGAGCACAAGAGAACAAGACTAGTAGCCTGCTGGAATGCTCCTTGTTCCACACTTTTATAGCAACTTTCGCAAGAAACTGAATGTGGGGAAAAAAAGGTTACATTTAATAATGAAACTTGCGGTGTAAAGTATCATGTACTGCTAATTAAGTGCAACTTTTGCCAGCAAAAATTAGTGATTTCGTCATTTCAACATCTGTCATCACGCCTGGCATCATAAACTTTTCTAGCTGATACTGCATTATCAGGGCTTAGATATGCTCCCCTTTTGCCCTAAGCAGCCAGCTGCTTTCTCCTACGCAAGACAGAGACACACAAAGGAAATAAGAGGATCAAAATATGGTACTTTTCCTTTTATAATCACTTCCATCTAATCATAATTCTATGCAAAATACTACCTATTTTTAATACGGTTAATCAATAGTCTTTTAATGTTATAGATTAAATCATATAGCAATTGTATTTTCAGTCACTGATTACTATTTTTCCCCCCCCCAGAAATTTAATTCTGTGGAAGAGATCATTGAATTCTACAAACATGTTCCCATAAAACTCATTGATGGAAAGGATCAGTCAGGAACTCACAGAGAACAATGCTACCTCACACATCCATTCAAGTCACGCAGATACTTTCTGCCTTAACATCGCAGATTCATTTGTACAGATGTAAATAGAACAGTTATTTAAATGTCTCAAAAATCAGATTAGCCTTTTGAGCAAGGAGCTCCCCATAATATGTAGCATTCTACAGATCTACTCCATTTTTTGATTGTTGCAATCTAACTTTGAGGATACAGGTAAAGTATATGTCAACGTATTAATTCACAGAGAAGTGTTGAAACCAACTCCTGGTATCCTGACAATGACGGACCCATTTGCTTATCTTGCACTCTACCTTCTACCATAAGATGGAAATCAAACTCACTCTTGCTCACCTAAATGTCATGTAAACTGCACTAAGTAGCAAAAGCTAATAAAGCATACCACAGTCATATAAAAAAAATATTCTTGCTTTTAAAAATACACATGAAATGCTATGTGCCAGAGCTCTCACTGTCTAACAATTTCATGTGGTGTGCATATGTTTGCTCAACAACAAGCTGTGCTCAGCCAACACTGAAGTCAGTGTTAGCTGCTGCTCATAGGTATTGGAGCAGATTATAAAGATGGTTAAGTAATAGAATGTACATAATTACAGCAAACACTTACTCTTTAGCTTGTGTAGCAGATACTTGTATTCCATACCTGAGCCTTCAAACACTTACATAAGTAAAACAATTATGTAAACAGTCACTTTGAATTCATACTATGTGCAAATATAGAGATAAAAATCATCAATAGGAACAGTAGATGTGCTTCAAACTCAACAAGAAAACATGCTCCAGTGTGTATCAAAGAACATGAGAATGTGATTTTTTTTTTCCAGCAAAAAAATACCGTGATACTTATTCATACAATCTGAGTTTTGGAAGCCCTAACTAAATTCCATATGTATATGAAAGGCAAACTTCAAGTTTTTTTTCTGCATAGCATCCATAGTCTTCCTTTCTAAGCACACTCAGAAAGTTTGGCTAGGTAATTGGAATATACAAAAAAGTAACATCAGTTACTTTATCCTTAAGAATAGGAACAAGAATAAAAACACTCAAGCCCAAAACCACAACATTCCAACCCCATTTATGACGTAGTAGGTGGCACAAACCAGCTCTAAAAAAATTTAAGTTACTATTTTTTTGAAACATTTTTATTTCTCAATGCTGCATCAAAATGCAAGAGAACATTCACTGTAATTATTTCTCTCAAACTGATGAACCTGTTAAAGGAAATTACTCTGACATAACATTTCCTAATAAGAATAAAATTAACAAAACAGAAGCTGCTAAAAGTAGAGTTTAGCAGAGCTCATAAAAAGAAAAAGAAGCATGACGTAACCTGCTTTAAGAGTTTCATAGCCACAATACAATTTAACTTACAAAAGACTTCCATGTTAAAAAACAAAACAAAAAAAATTTCTAAATTAAGAACCATAAAACCCCCACATCTCAACAATTTAGATAGCAGGTTATGGCAGTGACATACCAAGTTTTGCAGATTTTTACTAAAGTAAACAGTAAACTCGCTTACAGACGAAGACAAGCATTACTAGTATACTTAATCCACCTAGAGTTTTTAAAGCTGAGCAGCAACACCTCTCCCACCCCTCCCCAGTACAACTTTCATAAGCAATGTTTTAATTTCGCCAGTGACAACTCTTAAGAAGCAAATTCAAAACTATTTATTTAGTTGCTTCTACAGAAACAAAATTAATTCAAACAGTAACCTGGACTGAAGGAGTTAAAACAAAGGAGGAATTCTAACCATGTTTGTGGGTTTTTTTATGATAACCATTTCAGTATTTATTGTATATGATATGCCAGAATTTTAAAACGGAAACTATTCTCACCATTGAAAATGCAAAGAGCACTGTTAGGTTTGGCATTGAAGTATATGAAGTGAAAAAAAAACCCTCTAGTGTACCCATCTAAAAAAATATAATTCCATTTGAATACAAAATGAGAACTGTCATTTCCTTATTATTGACAAAACAGGCAAAACGAAGTTTGTTCTGTGGAATAGGTTAGTCTGATACAAATGATACAAAAATTTTCAATGTGTACATGACAAAAAAGATCTGACTTAAAGCACCAACTGTCTGAAAGATTTTAACACTGTATTGCAAAATTATGGGAAAGCAATAAGTGGTTTTGAAAATAAACCTCAGTCAGATGTAGTTTTAAAATATTTACATTTCAATGCAGACATGATAAATACTTTATCAAAACAATGTATAATCTGCTGGAGCATATAAAAAAATATTCCCAGCTTAAACTGTTACAAAAATGCACCAACAGTGAAAAGAATCAGGGACTACCAGTTTTTCAAGAGAAGTCCCAGTTCAAACATAGAACACACATCCAGCATTAGAGTCAGTATTGATTTTCTTATCCCTAAAACTGTAAGAAGTTATTTTAATTATAAGTATGTGCTTCAATATATTTCATTCTATATGATTCTAAAATGATTTAAAATTGACAAGATGAAGAGAAACATCTATAGTACACATCCAGAAACAGTACACTTCAGTGTCATCCATCCCTCTTCTTTACTAAAACTTGAAATTTGGCCCTGATTTAGAAATTTGTTTAAGAAACTGAGCAATGTTCACACTGCACTGAAGTCAGTAGGTACATGTTAGACATAATCTGTAACTAGGCACATGCTTGTATGAATTTGAGGCTTACAAAAAATATATTCTAACAACATCTAAATTCTTAAGAATGATGAAAGATTGCACTGAAAATCTGATTCAACACTGTCAAAATAAAACTGTGCAACGTGGCTTTTCATTTTGAAAAGTCTTCATCTTCAGCAAGTTCCTCTGTAAACAAGCTCACTAACTAGAGTTCTAACCAAATGCTGAGTTCTGTAAATATCCTATCACACACATGGTGGTAGAGGGTTTATGTTTGGCTATTACTATTGCAGAACAGCCTACAGGCCATATAGAGAAGTGCTTCTTGTTCCTATCAACTCAAGCCTGATTGTATCTCTGGCTTGATGGTACAGAAACCTGACTGCTCTGTTCTTTCACATCTACACAATATAGGCTAAGTAAAGACTAAGTACTAAACAAAATTAAACTTATTAGTGCTATCTGACCTAGTGGGGAGTAACTGATTCCACAGATTTTTCATTTACACCCTTGTATCTCCTCTGAAGTCAGCAGAAGTGTTTTTATCCCACTGAAACAGAGCACTTGCATTTAACTTTTACTTTTTATGGATAGTGCTTAGTTTGCCACTAAAACCTATGATATACACTTGCTGTCCACGGAGGACCAAAGGTGCTTTTCAGTATACAAGTGCTCGATCTCTGACACACCATGCTGTAATAAAGCAAACTAAATCCTGTTAAATTTACAAAGATCTCACCATCTAAGACTTTAATCCACAGAGACCTAGCACAAACCAGTTACAGCATAGTATCCTAGGGTAAGTAGAAAGATGTTTGCATAGCAAATATTTTTCAAATTTCTCCCATGGAACAGATGAAATTGACCTCCAATACAAATTTCAAGCACGAGAGTGCAAAGCAGTACTTTGCTAATCCTTGCTATCGGCTTCTCTCTCTCTGTCTCTCTCTCTCTCTAATTCTGCTCTCTTCTTCCACTTTGCTAACAGCAGAGATCTTTCGGCAAAATAAAGCAGTTACTTCAATCCTCCATCCCAAGCACGTTAGTGGCACTCATTAAAAACAAGAGGGGAAACCTCCACTAGTCTCTCACTTGATGGTTTTTTGCTTGAAGAGAAAGAACATCCCAACCCTTGGTTGCCTCTATTAAGTGCCTCTGTCCATGACTTATCCATTCTTCTTGGTCCATATATACTCTTCCACAAAACCAACACTTAAACAGACACCGAAGTGTTTCAGGTGGTGAGGTTTCCACCACCTGGTAGTTGTTTTTATGAGTCTTTTTCAGCTTCATTTTTAGCATACTCTGCTTTTTTGTTTGGTTGCCTGTCTCAACATTCTGAATAGTAAGACGCTTTCGATAACGTTTGACACCAAGACAACTACTTGTCCTTTCTGACAGAACTACTTTCAGGACTTGACCTTTATACTTGTTGATAGTCTTCATGACATTAATTATCTCTGGTGAATCAACATCAGGATGGTTTAGTACCACAACTGGCTGGTTACGACGAGGGCATTTTATCAACTGATTCATTTTCAGAGGGACAAGCCGAAGACGTCTTGCTGTCAACAGGTACGACATGTCAGAACTTGAAGTGGTTTCCAACTGAGTTCTTGTTTTCCTCTTAGGAAGTTCTCTGAAGCTTGCTTGTTTTGCCTTATTTTTGGGACTTAATTGACTTTTTGAATAGGGCTTGCTTGGCTTGCTCACATCACTGCTTTTCTGAAATGGTACACCAGTTTGTTTGCTATTATTTTTAACACTTGCCTCTCGCTTTGGTCTTTGCCTGAGCAATATACTTCGGGACTCAGTATTTGGTTCACTCTGATTAGGCAAACATGGCAAATTATCACGAAGTGTTTCAGAAACACTAACAGGGACTGGGCGAGGCAGAAACATTTCATTGCAATACATAGAAGGAGCCGATGTTTCACCGCTGTTTTCTGTTCCATCTGAGTTTTGACTGCTAGTAGCATTCAGCACTCTCAGCATTGTCCCTTTGGGGATAAATACGGGAGTAGCAACATGGGAATTTTTAGTCACCCTGTTTTTAGATGTTCTTGCAAATGTAAATAGCTGATCTTCACCGTGTTCTTTACTACTAATCACACTGTTTCCACCATGCTCTTGAGACAAAGTTACAGGCTGTTCCACTTCAGGGGCACATACAACTCTCTCACAACTCGCTGAACTTTCTTGAGGCAAAAGCACCTTCTTACGAGAAGCTTGACATCTCAAAGGCAGGGATTTCATATTAGATTCAGACATGAGCTGAGCAATCTTTCTACAGAGCAATGTTGCTGACTTCTTACTGCGTGTTTTGTCAACCCATCTGACATCTTCTGGAACGTTTTCAGCCCCAGAGCTAAGGGAAAATACAGATGAAATAACAGGCCCTTCAGAACTGCCTTTATTTTTCATCTTCTGTAGTTCTAGTGATTCCAGAAGACGACTGTTCTTTTGACTTATGGTTTCAGCTCTCTTTACTTTGCTAAAGCCAAAAGTTATATCCTCAAAAGGTGGAGTTTTAGCGATGTGAAATTTTTTTCCTGCCTCAGAAGATGTAACACATTTTTTATCAAAACCCATACCAGCTAAATGTGCTTCTGTAGAGCTGACTGGCAGACTCTTACATTCTTTGTCATCCCTTTTCACAGGCAATGTATACTTTTCTTTTAGGACTGCAGAATAATTTCTGCTCTCCTGAGCAGCCTCTAATGAAATGTTCTTGGAACCTTTATCTTCAGAAATAGAAGCGTATTTTCGCAGGTGTATATCTTCAGCTTCTTCATAACGGTACAAATCACAATGGAAATTATTTTTTCCATCTACTTCCCACCTTGAGGACTTAAGATCACTTTTTTTTTCAGTACTGTTCATTACCAGAGATGGAGAACAAAGTTTTATAACACCTGAATGGACATCAATACCTTTCACCAAATGAAAGTGTAATTTTGATGCATCTTCTCTCTGTATAGATACAGAGCTACAGGTTGAGAGTTGAGAATCAGAAGAACAAAGACATTCAGAATTCTTGTCATACGTACTATCCAAATTAAGCTGGTTACTAACACTGGAGGATTTGTCTACATTCACTTCCATGGTTAGTAAGTCATTTTGAGATACAGATGACGGTTTTTTTCCTTCTGTAGATCGTTCTATACCTTGACTCTCAAGTTCCTCTTCAGCACAGTTCACAGGTTTGTAAGTTGCTTCTTTCATAGGAATTAGTTTAAGAACCAGCTGTTGTGCTCCATTCACTATTTTAATCTCTACTATCTGAGCTAAACAGTTAGAAGGAACTACAAGTTCAGACGGCGCAATTACTGTTAAAGGCATCCCAGGCTGTAAAGGCTCTGTTTTTGGAGAATAAACCTCAACTTCCACACTTTGATTCTCACATACACTCATTTCAGATGGCTCCAACACTGTTTTATCCCCGACTGACGCTGCATTTACACTACATTCTACATTATGAGATGAACAGACTGTTTTAGTTGCTTTACCTGGAATCTCACAAACCATATTTGAAGACAAATTCGAAAATTCATTCTGAAAAGGAATTTTATTGTATTTCTGCTTTTTACATAAAGTGCTTTGACTCAGCTTCTTTTGCTTGTGTTTTATGAGAGTATTTGATAGCCGTTTTGTGGGTGTTTCATGTACTCTTCTCGTATGTTTCACTATATAGTCATGTCTAACAGCACCATACTCACAGTACTCACACTGATATGGGAAAGTTCCAGTGTGTTTCACCAAATGTCTCTGGAATTCTCCTTTGGTGTAGGATACATAACTACAGTGGGAACAAAGAAACTTAATTTCTTCATGTTGCTCTACATGTTTTTTATACTGTAAAGGATCCTTTGTTGAAAATCTACATTTATCACAGTAGTATTTACCTGGCAGAAAATTTTTTACTTTAAATGTTTTCTGGGGTTTACTTGGGGTTTTCCTTTCATGTTCTTTAAAGTCTGCAGCATTGGCACCCATAGGAACAAAATGGAAAGCTGGTGGTGTAATATGACTACATTTCTTGCAGATGAAATTTTTGTCTTCAGTCCACCCAATCTTCTTATGCTTCTCTATATCTTGCACTGAAATTTTCTGAACACTTCTGCATTTTATACAGCTTATCAGTGACAATTTATTGTTCTCAGCCTCAGTTCCTTGGTAACAGCAGTTTTGGTCATCCTCCCCATTTGATGGATTTGTTTTATCCTCAGAAGATTGCTTTCGGGGTGTAGTTAGGGAATTATTCCTATCATTAACTTGGCCAGGGTACAATCTTGGTAATATTTCCCTCATTTTTTTCAACTGCATTTCAGAAGACGTGACTCTGCACCAGTTTCATCAAACACAGCAGCAACAGATAAAATTTTTTCTTGGTATTAGTCTTATCAATCAATCAATCATTCAGGCTGCCAATCTGCAGAATACATGCTTTAGAAGAAATGATGTTCAAGCAACTGCATCTGTATTATATTCCATGTTCTTAACTTTAGTCAAACAACTTGCAGCACTAAAGAATAAAAAGCAGAAGATTGAGTCAGTTAGGATTCAGGGATCACTGAAATACAAAGAACTAATAAGTGAACTATTAGCAGACTACAGCTGAATTACAGAGTGCAAATCTACTGTTAATATACCACTGATTGCATTCTGCACATACACCATTAACTAAGTAAAAAATACCAAATCAAATAATCCTTTAACATTTGCTCTTATTCAAAAATTTCATAAATAAATAAGTTATCTGCTACGTATCAAAACCTAAAGAGTTCGTGCTACTTCCCCCATGTCAAGAAAAATTTTACATTTAAGAAACGTATTTAGAAACCTAATAAGAAAGATGTTTGGCAACAGAACTGAGCAGCATAGTATGACTTCAGTTCATGTACAGCCCTCGATTCAGGACAAGATATTATGAAACAGTGCAAGTGCCACACATTTGTGAATCCCAGCAGGGAAACAGAACATGGTTGCAATGGTTACTAGAAACACAGAACTATTTGTTTGTTTTTAAATATAAGGATTTTTAAGTTAGCACAGAAATTCCTGACATACAGAGGGAAGTTCTTTTCTAATCAGTGCCAACGTTTCAGATCCAAACAGTCTTGAATGCCAATTCATAAGAAGATATGATTCACATGTTCTCAAAGTAATGAAGTCAAAACAATCTGTGGCTGCAAAATTAATTACTTTCTCTTCTATTAATATCACAGTGTAATCACTTCTATATATGTGGACAAGCATATAAATAATTCACTGCATCCTGATAATACAGAATGTCAATCAAGCAAAATAAACAATGTAACATAAGGCAGAAGGAGAACAGCAATATCACTGTAAACCACCACATGAACATGTGCAGTATATTTGGCCCCACAAGTTCCAGCACTCTGACTGTCTCTTTACTACATTTCACAGGAACAAGATCTCAGCCTTTAAGTTTTTGGCAAGACTATGAGACCACTGTTATTTGGAAAATAAACAACTAAATTAGGCTTTTGAGACATATATAAAATAAAATCCAAAGCTAACACCAACAAATAAAATCTACTCAACATCTTTCTTATTCTAACAGTTAACTACAGACATGGCATTGCACAGACCTGCATTCACAAATAATCTATTTCATGAGGTTAATTCTAGATGCCTTTTCAATACACCCAACAGAAGACTTCTGCTTCTGAAATCCAGTTCCTCATCAAGTCTATCTACAGAGATCAAGACCTGATTTAGACTCCAAAAGCACAATGCTGAGATCACTTAAGTAGCTTCCCATGACAATAATCGTATGTTAACAAAGAAATTACCCTATGGTACTGAAAAGACATTGAGGTACTGGAGCATGCCCAGAGAAGGGCAACAAAGCTAGTGGAGGGTCTGGAGCACAAGTCTTATGAGGAGTGGCTGAGGGAACTGGGGGTGTTTAGCCTGGAGAAAAGGAGGCTCAGGAGAAAAAGTTGGCTTGGCAGTGCTGGGTTAATGGTTGGACTCTTGGAGGTCTGTTCCAGCCTAAATGTTTCTGTGATCCCCCCAATGGCTTGACAGAAGCCAGCATCTCATCCAAACACCTTTACCCACATTTTATGTGCTCTCAGCCCAGAGAGCAACTGTATGCTGGGCTGCAACAAAAGCAGCGTGGCCAGCAGGTTGAGGGAGGTGATTATGCCCCCCTACTCTGCTCTTGTGAGACCCTACCTGGAGTACTGTCTAGATGTGGGACCCTCAACACAAGAAAGATGTGGGCCTTTTAGTGGCTCTCCTCTGGAATCGTTCCAAGTTGATCACAGGGCAGGAACACCTCTCCTATGAAGGCAGGCTGAGAGAGCTGGAGAAGAGAAGGCTTTGGGGAGTCCTTATAGTCCCTTCCAGTACTTAAAGCAGGCTCTCAAGAAGGCTGGAGAGGGACTTTTCACAAGGGTATGTAGTGACAGGACAAGGGGGAATGGCCTCAAGCTGAAGGAGGGTGGATTTAGGTCAGATATTAAGAAGAAAATCTTTACTGTGACAGGTTGCCACAGAAGTTGTGGACGCCCTATCCCTCGAGGTGTTTGAGGCCATATTGGATGGAGCCCTGAGTAACCTGGTCTAGTGGAAGGTGCCCCAACCCACGGCAGGGGGGTTGGAACTAAATGATCTTTAATGTCCCTTCCAACCCAAACCATCCAGTGATTCTATATTTGTGTGCTCCATCTGCCAATATCCCTAACTGCTGCCCTAAAGATGGGGCTCTGCAAAGAGTAAGTATACTGAATGCAACCTCAAATAACTGTAAAAATAAGATAGAAAACTGGTTAGGGACAACATAATGAGCTTTTCACTCTTTAGAAGATGAACGGCTGCACACTAAAACTCCTTAGTAGGTAGTTCTAGGACTGTAGTAACCTCATCTCAGTGCACGGCAGACAGCTGTGAAAATATTTGTGAAAAATGTGAAAAAGTCAATGGCAGCCTTGCAGGAAGGAGGAAAGTATACAACTGATGTATCATGATCTGGAGATTTTTTTTTTTAAGCAATTCTCATCTGGGTGACATTATGCCCTCTATTATTCTGATTCTAAAAAGGAAAGAAAAAGCAAACGTGTGCAGTAGTTCATATGGAACATTCTTCCTCTGCTACTACCACTTTTTAGACTTAAGATGAACCCATTGACAGACAAGTGTGATGGTAGGCCTGTGTTCAGGAGATCCACTGTTTTGCTTCAAGAGAAAGATGGTAAGAGATCTTGATAAGCTCAATATCCAGACCAAAGATGCTTTGCACATTTCTATAAGCTTTAAGAAAGAACTAAAATTGCATTTGAAAGGAAAGGATGACGTTTAGTCAGTACTTGCCTTTTTTTTTGCTGTTAATAGCTATCCATTGACACTGAAACTGCCTTCCATATGAATTGACCAAAAAGCTACATATAGAGCATTTTATGCCACCAACATGCTTAACCACAAAAAAAGTATTATAAATCCAGAGAATTTTCTTATATTTTTTTAACATTGTAAACTTCATCTTAAGGGACAACATGAAAAATTATCGACATGCTTTAAAGGGCAGGGAAGTACAAGAAACACAGTCCAGCGTTTTAAGAACACCTTACTTTAACAGACAGATCTGGGCTGCTCAGTCCAAGAAGACACTAGAAAAATTTAATAGAGGTAGTTCAAAGAATAGGCTAGTAATCCTACTAAACTTTCCTAATTCAAACAGCTTTACGTAGGAAAGTGAAAACAACTAGGTTTGTCAGGGTTCAACCCCAAAACCAAGCTTTTATTCAGACCTGTGACAAATACCATGTTGCTAGAATCCAGGCTTCAAGTGCTGGTGTGTGATTGTCTTCCATATGTGCAGTGGGTTGATCCTAGCCAGCAGACAAGCAGCCACACAACCGCTTGCTGGTGTTCCTCCTGAGTAGGAAGAAGAGTGAAGTAGAGAAAAAGCACAAGAAAGTTTATGGGTCAGGACAAAGGCAGCTGAATAGAAGGAAAGAGGCAGGGAAGTGACATAAGGGAAATCACTCACCACCTTCCACAAGCAGACAAATGCCCAGCCAGTCTCCGAGCGGCAGCCACATTGGAAGGCAACCCCCCTCTCCCCTTCTTCTTCTTTTACTTCCAGTTTTCCTGGCTAAGCATGACATTATGTGACATGGCCTATCCCCCTGACCAGTTCTAATCAGCTGTCTCAGCTGTGTGCCCTCTCAATCTATTGCCCACCCCATGCCTATTCACTGCAGCAAAGGCAGAGAGAGGGGGAAAAGAAAACCTCGATATTATGCAAACACTGTTCAGAAATGACCAAGACATTGTTGTGTTATCAACACTGTTTTAGCCAGAGGTCCAAAACACATCACTGTACAGGCTGCTTTTTAACTCCATCCCAGCCAGATCTAGTACAAGGTGAAAAAGAAGCGAATAATGAGTTGATGCCAAAGTAATATCTCTGCTGTCTTTCTAGCTAGTAATTCACCATGTACCCTGAACAGTTAATAAGAAAAGTTTTGAAACAAACAGGTCCAATTTATCATTGTTTTAAATAAAACAAGCCCAAAATGAGATTGTAATTTCATGTTTATATTTAAAAAAAAATAAATTTGTTTTTTCTGGTTACTTCAAAAAACTGAGATCATCAATGTACAAAGCAAGGAGAACATTACATACATTAACTCCATATCACTGGGGGAGGGCAGGGGAGGGAGTAATTCCCCTTAAGACTTGTTTTCATGTTTAAAGGGCTGGCAGAAACACATTTCAGAAAATTTAAAGATAGATACTTGATTCTTCATGTGCAGTGCACACAGACCAATCCAAAGACATCATTAAAGGAAGACCTGAAAGTCTACAAGGAGTGAATGGCAAACATAGGAACAGGATGGATGAAGAATGGAGTAAGAGACACTAAGAGTGTTAAAATCAGTTCCAGTCATTATCTTTACAGTAATGGATTCAGAAAAAAAATGTAAAAATATTCAGAAATACAATAAGGTACTCGAATTAGGAAAAATGAAAACAAAATTCTAGAGGCCCTAGTTTGTTTTTTTTTAAAAAAAGGAAAAAAAATAAGTAAAAATGTAGAGGTACATGGAAAAAGGACAGCAGAAGAAAGATAAACCAAACTTCCTCATTCACTCCTTCTACCAAACACATGAAATTCAGTGCCATTAAAGAGTCAGGCATTCAATGAAAAGAAGTATTCCCACCTTTCACACAACGCTAGCATATCTTGAACTGTGCTGCTCAACACACAGAGATTAACAGATCCACAGGAGTCAAAAGGTATTCCAAACTGTGGATATCACATGTATGTAATGGTTCAAAAGATCCATTAAAACAAAGGAAAATAGGATGAAACATCCTGTGCAGTCTGACTGTGCCAAATTCATCCCGTAGAAGGGTTTTTCCTCTGCAGAAGATTACAAACTACCGATGTGGACCCTGTCAGACAGGAAATTTCTATTTACTTCAAATACATTAATACTTTGTTCATCATTTCAAAGAAAAACATTTATATTGCAGGGGTTTAGTTCCCTTTAGCTCAAACTATGTGCTGCTATCAATGAAAAGGGTGGGATGAACAACATTTATGCTATGTGATCAAGCAAACGAGCCCTTACTTCAGCAAAGCACACACCTCTCACATACTAAATTCACAGGCTGCAGCCAACAACCAAGGTGTCCTTTGGTAGTGAAAAGCCCATATAAGTCATGCCTAGGAAAAAGAAGTTTAAGCAAAACTGGAAGACATGTATGCATGCATCTAGTGTGCATGATTGTATCATGAGGATGCAGTGTGTAAAATTTGAGTCCCTGGGAAAAATTTAAATCTCTGTGCTTGCTTAAAACTACCTTCTCTATATTTTGCAATTATATATGCATACACACCATATACTGATCGTTTAACATCAACTGACTATCTCTCTTAAGCAGAGTTAACTGTTCTACTGACCCAACTACAAAGCTGCCAATTATCAGTCACTAATTTTAGGCCTAATGACTGGGAGAGATACAAAGTGTTTCACTCAAGTATTGCATATTGTATTAATTAATATAATTAATTTTGTGTTAAAACAAACTATTCAAATACACCACATAAATTTCGTCTACAATTATTCCTTCTTAAAAAGACATTTTGTTTCACAGTAACAGCTAATCACACAGTCATAACAGTTTTTGTTTTGTATCTGAAATTCACGTCAAGATTTTCAATCAAAATTAATGAAGAATGACAATGCAGAGAATTAAGAAGAGCAAAGACCATGCATCAAGTTTTTAGAGCTCATTTTTATTATAAAATATACAGTTCTTTCACTCTACAGAAAAAAATCAATTACATTTAAAATGTTTACTACTTATAAAGTCATGCAAAACATTGATTAAAACACTATTTTTCAAAACGTAAGTGAAAAAATGTCCAATCTACTGAGGTTTATTGGCATTGTACGAAGGCAAGTACATGTATGTACTATGCAGTATTCTACTGAAATGGAGGTCTGCTTCCCTGTGGCTCTAGGACCTAGGCCTAGCTTTATTCATATCTGAAAGCTACACACTTCTATTATATCATTCAACTGCTTGGTGGTCTTCCCGCAATAAGCTTAACAAGGCATTCCCAAATAACTACCGTATCAAAAGCAATAGTCTAGAGTGCTCAGAGATGTTTATACAGTTGTTTATCATTACATCTATGACCAACTTTTTAAATCTATGCTGCTCATTTCATCATTTCACACAATTAACGACCATTTTAAGAATCTTTCTGTATATCCAGAGCATACTGACTAGTATGTAGCACTGCTTTTCTCTAAGCTCTAAGGCCTGTAAGCAATACAGCAAGGAAGTATGGCACTGAAGAAAATGGGAGTGGAAGGGCAAGAGTGTCATTAAAAGCACATATCTCTCCGTGCCCAGTTCTCAAAGCACTCATGTAGATGTTAAAACTAATTTCTATAGATTTCATTCCTGCTAAGATTAGCCACATCCTATCTGCACGGGCAAGAAAAGGGCCTTGACTGCAACCACCTACTGCAGTAACAATGCACAACAGACTGCTAGAAAAATCCTGTAAAACACCATTGGTTTTCCTAATCATAAAACAGACTTTTTTAATTAAATGTACATTGTAGGACACCTTGGCTACATCTATGATAACATTGGATCATCTATTTAAAAGAAAAGGTAATTCAGACCTATAAAATGTTTAAGTGTCCAATGTAATACTTCTCAATGATAGATTCTCTTGCAACAAAACTCAATGTGGGATTTAATTAAGCGACTCTTACGCCCAAATATTCAAAAGAACCTCATTTGCACACAAAACAGAGGATGTTCTATTTTGCTCAGGAATACAATTACTAACCCGAGAGCTCCTTTTCTTCGGGAAGATGACCAAGACGACAAACCTGGACAACAGCCTTAGTCCAGACGAGTCCAAAGCGGCCTGATGGCGTCCACGAGACAAAAAAACCACCAAAAAAAAAAAGAATAAAAAAATCTCCTTGTCTTGGGCATCCAGCCCACCCACGCATCAGTGCTGCCGCCTCTCCAGAGGCCTCCCTTTCTCCTTCCCTCGCTCGCTCGCTGCCCGTGTCCCGAGGCCGAGCCGGGCGATGCGGTGCGGGCGGTGCGGCCCCTCCGCGGGTCGCGCAAACCTCCGCCCGCAGCGCCCCCGCAGCGCCGCCGCCGGCCCGCAGGGGGCAGCACCGCCGGCACCGCGCTGCGAGCCGGCAGGGCGGCGGCGGCGGGAGCCGCGGGCCCGGGGCAAGGGCGCCTTACCTGGCTCGGGAGAGGGCGAGGAGAGAAAAGAAAGCGCTGCTACCCTCAGGGCAGACCCCGCCAGCCGCCGCCGCTCCCCTCGTCTCCGGCCACACGCGAGCGGCGCAGCGCCGCCCCGCGTCCTGCGCGGGTGCCGCCCCGCCCTGCGGCTCTTACCCCGGGAGGGCGGGCGCGCTGGTGAGCCCCCCGCCACCGCCCCGGCCCCGCGCGGCCCCCGCCCACCGCCGCGGCGGAACTGACCTCACGGCCGCGCCCCGCCCGCCGCCGGGGCACCGCCGGGTAGAGCTCTACTGAGAACCGCGGAGCTCTATCGAGAACCGAGCGGGGAGCTCCGCCGAGAACCAGGGAGGGCGGCCGCGCCCGCCCTGGGCACCCGCACCCGAGAGGGACCCGGCACCGCCGCGCGGGAAGAGGCCGGGGAAAAGAGGCTGAGGAAAGGCCCTGGCCGTCCCTCCACATTCTGATATGCAACGTGCCAAAGGATACGCTGCTGTTCCCGATAATGGATCTACATCCCTGCCGGTTCCGCTGTGTTTCATCACTGTATGGTGTGGGCGCGTGTTTCATGGGAATTGCTCAATTAAGTCCTACAGTAACATGGTAGTTGCACGTTTTCGGATGCGTCCTGAAAAATCCAGATTTCTTTTTAAATAAACTACTCTTATCGATATTTGAAAGGAGCTAAAATTATTTAAACTGACAGCATGTTGCCCTCTAAAAGTGCATTTAATGTCACTACACTATGTTACTTAAGTTACATATTCCTTTGTACGTAACCTCCACTTAAAAAGGAAACTAGCTAACACGGGGCCCAAAGTCTTTCCAGATGAGGTCTTAGAAATGGAGCTCTTCAGTACATGACTTCAAAGTTAAACTCCATTTTGCTGATTGTTATGTTAGCATGGATTCTGTGTGATAAGAGGAACCAGTAAGGTACATTTTGCAATCAGTTCTCTACTGCAATGATTTGAAAGAGTGCTTGGTCTTGTCTAGACATGAGCACACCTCTTCAGGGATCTCAGATTTTGGGAGAGGCTTTTCAGGTCACAAAAAAAGAAAAGGGAAAGCTAACCTTATCAGAGAGGGAAGTCTGGGGAAAAAGAATCCTCTCAACTATGAATTTTTTAGTTCCAAAATGTGATGTTGCCCTCAGAGTATGTTACATCTTTTGATTAGCAGTGTAAGAAAACACTCTTAATGGAGGAGTTTGGAACACTGTAGTTTACTGAACATTTTTTAACATGTGAAGATGGTCTTCTGGCTGATATAGCCTGTTGGGATTTCTTGAAGGCTTTTGACAAAGACTGTCAAAGCAACTAAGCAGTAATGGCATAAGACCAAATATCTTGGCAAGAATAGCTGGTTAAAGATGGAACACGAGGAGCAGAAATGAATGTGTGATCCTCGTAGCATAGATACAATGGGTGCGCTGCTATATCAGTCTCTGCTTGGACCTGCTCAACGTACAAGTGACTTGGAAAAGGAGCTGGGCACTCAAGTGACAGCCTTCTGATGGTACCAAGCTACTCAAGGATTTAAGGACAGAAGCCCACTAAAGATCTGCAGAAGGACATGCAACTGAACAACTAGGAATTAAAATGGTGGTTAGATTTTTTGATAGCTAAAAGTGATGCACAGTGAGGAAAAACATCATAACTTCAAATATAAAATTATGAACTCTAAGCTGACTAATACTGTGCAGGAGCAAATTCTTGGACTTACAAAAAGTTTCTGTGAAAATCTCACCTCGGTGCTTAATAGAGTTCATAAAATCAAGCTGTATGCTGAGATTTGAAAAAGAACAGAGAACAAAGCAGCCTTATGCTGCTGTGTAAATTCATGATTTACACATCTTGAAAGCTCTTTGGGTTTCTAAGTTCCCTCAGCTCAGGAAAGATAGAATAGTAGTGGAAAAGGTTCAATGAAAGGTAAAAAGGATGATCAAAGGTACTTTGCTCTCAACTTTCACATAAGGAACAATTAAGTAAGCTTCTGTCTGGAAAAAAAAGATGACTATTGATATAACAAAGGGCTAAAAATCATGAGTGTACATTGTAATGCGAGCAGTTACAGCTGGGAATTGTGTATGTGGATCTCATGAAAGCCATCAGGGACAATTTGTACTTACTGACTAGTGACAGCTATTCTGCAAAGGTGATTATGTAGTGTTATGAAAATTTACTTCCCTAACTATTGTATGAATCAGTCGTCATAATATGAAAGTGTATTCACTTTGTCACTATGAATTAATTCACAGTATACAGTGCAACAGAATGAGATAGTGGAATTTTAGTGGAGTCTTTGGTATTGTTCATACTCAAGTAAAACAAGCTAAAGGACAGCCCAGCGCTGGAAATAAGGGCTTTGCTTCTTGGAAGCATAGAACTGCTCATGAAGGATGAAGGACACCCATAGACAACCCAGATAAAGCCAGCATCCTAGCCCTTCTACTATGTCTTTGAAACCCTTCCACTGTTATCTGGCAAAACTGACCGCAGGAACATCTGGATCAATAGACAAGCAGCAAGAATGCTGCAGAAATATGGTTGCTTGGCAAAGTTTTGCTATGATTAGAAATCAATCTTGTGGGTCTTAGTAATTAGTCAAATCATGTTGTAGCTGAGTGGTTGAAGTTTATAAGAACCCTGTGTAAAACCACTCAAGGGGACCCAGTTTGGCTGGGATACCTCAAGCACATGAATAAATATTTGCACTTGTAATTCTATACTCTGTTTCCTGGCCTCTCTTGGTCAGCACCAACTGATGCAGTTTTCTTAATACACTTAGCAGTTCCGATTTTTTTCAGCAGATCTGTTTTTTTCAAAACCAGAAAAATTAGAAGCATTCCTAAAATACAAGATTATGATCTTTAACACAAATAATAATTGAGAAATAGTTCGCTCTTTTTTTTTATCTCATCTATCTGTATCTGAAAAGATTCAGTCTGTGATAAATATACTTCATATCAGTAAAATGGAATCGGTTATCTGATACTCAACACTGATTAAGCACTTTTACCTCTCTTTCTTAGATATACATAGCTAGCTTGCTCTGAGGTTAGAACTGCAATTGCCTGTAAAAAATGCAAATGTATTATTCAGTGTTTAAATAAGGCCAGACTAAACAGTGTCATACAGAAGAGGCTTTATTCTGGAAAGCTTGAGAGACAATTTATATCTTTCTCAGTGTTTTTCAGCTACGTAAATTGAGTCCCTCCTCTGCATTTTCTAAGCTTGCATTCAAACCTACTCCATTTCTTTTCCCTGTCACAGGAAGGCTCTCTTCCCAAGGACGAGTCAGACCCAATCAGATCACAGTGCCTCTTTCTCACTCAGGCTCCAGCCCTGAACCTACTTAGAACACCAGACGAGGAATAATTTCTTCTGCAGTTTCCACCTTGTCAGTCTTCTTTGGTTTGCCATTTGTAAGTCGTCTTTGGTGACCTCCAAATTCCCAGCTCTTGCCCAGTCCTTTGTTCCTTCTCATTTTGTCCTGTGACTCACCCCCCCCCCCCCCCCCAAAGTGCTAGTTAGGCATTTGTGAGCATCCCTGCTGAGGGCCCTAAAGGGAGGATTATCACTTAGTCATGCTAAGGGTTGTTACCCAAGTAGGAACCACTGATAGTAATGCTACTAATTGGCAAACAGAACATCCAAGCAAGTAGCCTCTTTTACTTCCTGCATCCTTTGCAGCATTGCTGTGCCATGAAGCTGGTCCTGTCACATGCCATAGAGCACCCTCATACCAGGACTTCACCATGACTCCTCTGCTGCCACCGCTTGTCCTGCTGCCAGCCTGCATTTCTTTCTACCCTCTAACAAGATTATCTGACATGAAAAGTTGATTGTTGCTTGTGGATCCGTGAGAAAACCACAGGTAGAAAGAATCACAGAATCACACAATGGGCAAAACTGGGAGGGACAACAGTGGGTCATCTGGTCCAATCTCCCTGCTCAAGTAGGGTCATCCTAGAGCACATTGCACAGAACTGTATCCAGATGGTTCTTGAATATGTCAAATGAGGGAGACTCAACAACCTCTCTGGGCAATCACAGTCACCTGCACAGTAAAGAAGTTCTTCCTCATATTCAGGTGGAACTTGCTATGCCTCAGTTTCTGCCTGTTACCTCTTGTCCTATTGCTTGGCACCACTGAGGAGGGCCTGGCTCTGTCCTCTTGACACCTTCCCTTCAGACACTGATAGACATTGATGAGGTCTTCTCTCATTCACCTCCTTTTGGGGCTGAACAATCCCAGCTCCTTCAGCTTTGAATCTCAACTGCAAAACTATGAAATAGCTCTGTTTGGAGAAGGTTCATGACGAAAGAGAATTAAGAGGATGAGTAAGTGAACTACAAGATAAATCACATGATCTAGGTGCTTCTCTTTGAACAGTTTTGCTTTGCGTGTTACTATAATCACAAGTCTGCCCTCCCCCCCTCAAAAAAAAGTAAAAAGGCAATGTGCTGGAAAACCTAAAAAAAAACCCAAACAACAACAACAACAACAACAACAAAAACAAAAAAAAAAAACTCAGCAGTGATAACCCAAGCTGAAAATGAAGAACGGCACTTTTTTGGAGACAAACAGAATTTTTCTCTTGGCTATTGCAGTAGCTGCACTACCTTCACATAACAGCTTCTCCTATCCCTTTTCAGGACACTATCATAAAACTGTAGTCATATGGATATGTTTTTTCACTCTATAGGCTGCAATAATGCAATAGCACAATCTGTTGAACTCAGGGAATGCACTTTGTAGATCTGAACTGTGTTGGGTGGAACATTTTGGCTGGGTGAAAATATACTACTTTGTAAGCATTCAGAGCACTAAGAAAAGAGAAATGCAATCTTCGTTTTCCAAAATGTGCAAGCGCAAACTGCACACAATGACAGTAGTCAGGATCTAACGCAGCAGCAGCAGAAGTTTCAATTCTGAGTTTCCCAGCCCCGCATATTGCAGGGTTGGACACTGAAACTGAAAGAACTAGCTTAGTTGTTGCTTTGTGTTTCTGCAGATGATATTAACGCTGTATGATATGCTGCCTCTTCAAGTGGCCAAGCAAAGTGCACGCATCATATGAGCATTCTGGAGGTTTCCTTAGATACAGGTTGCTGCTAATTACCAGATCTCTCCTGCTAATTTGTTTGATTGGCAGGGCTTTAGG